AACACACTCTGACCTCTGGTAAATACAATACGGAGTATACATTAATACGTAGTATCTAGTTTGCAATATTCTCATATGTGCATCATGAAACTATGAAAGAATGTTCGTATATACTTGGTATAATATAGTTACAGAGAAGGTGAGATAAGAACTAACTTGGTGGAGATAGGAGAAAAAGAATCGAATGAATGTTCAGGGTGGGAAAAAACGGAAGCTGTGGGATGGCGATAGAACAACGTGAAAGGGCAAGATTAGTCTAACACTTCAATACACTCGAATTTGGAGTGTTGAAAAAGTCACATATTTAGGTGTTAGGAAGGTTTCCCTTTAACATTTTTATACACTTACTAACACTCCATTTTTTTTAAAATTTCTCTCCCAAACAAGTGTTAAGACTAACACCCCTTAACACTTTCATTACTAACAGTCCTCAACAATTCCTCCAAACAGGCCGTAAGTAGTCAGCGATTAATGCACAATCTCATCATTAATAAAACATACAATTCTCCTACAGTTTCTGTCATTTCAGCTGCGGCGCGGAGAGAGATTTGAGAACGGCTGTTCCATAGGTTTTGGAAATTAGTGACGGAAGATATCGTCTGAAATTTGATAAACAATGTGAAATTCTAAATTAAAGGGAAACCACGCTTGTTGTCGACCATTTGTTAACCCTATTTGAGACAATATCAAACTTATTTTTGACTCCCTTTTGAACGTTTTTGACATTTTCATTAATTACATAACTTTTCATTTGAATGTTTTTGACAATTTCATTAATTACATAACTTTTCAGTACTAAATTTGATTAATATAAGGCTCGTTTGATAATTCTATTTTTTACTTTTTCATCAATTACATAATTTTTCATTTTACGCACGAATATGGTTAAGAGTGTTATTTCACACAACCAAATTTAGGCCAAACACAAAAAGATGTGTCAAAAAACTTCGAGTCTCTTTGGTAACACCAAAATTGGCTGGATCGGCTGATTCTGCTGAAATTTTGTCCGAAGTGGCTAGATTGGTTGATTCTACTGATTTAGAAAAAAAATTATATATTTTTATAAATAAAATAAATAAAAAATTTGAAAAAATTATCGTTGGAGGAGAAGGAGGAGTTATTTTGATAGTTGGTTCGTGATACTTTTTGTCAGAGTTAGTCTTTTTTAGTTTGTTATAGCAATTCGTCTCCTAATGATTTTGATATAAGTGTTAGATTTGATGATAAAAAAAGTTTCCATACATTTTGTTACAGTTCTTTGTTTCTTATTTAAATTAGAATTTCGCCTCTTCAATTTTAAAATTTACATCACAAAATTTTCAAATTTTGTTTTATGCATTTTGTGAGACACATGATTCAACGGAGAACTGGATAAGATGAACAAAAGTGGCCGAAAAAAAGTACGCTCACCTGGAGTAGATTTCATGCAGGTGGCTATTTTTGACAAAAAAAACCTGGTAGTCTATTTTTGAAAACAAATTTAAAAAGTGAAAATAGTGATATTATTTCCCTATGTAAGCTTGTTTGTGAAAAATTCCAAATTGTGAGTAGTTTGAGATGTACACAAAGGAAAAGAATCATTTCAATGTTTGTATTCTCTAAAAATCTGTTTGGTGACTATGTTTTTTCATTTTTTGAACTGATTATTTGTGGATTTGTGGTGCACTAATTTCTTATGGTTTCGTTTGAAATGAGATTCTGGCTTATCAGCCAACTTTTGCACCAAAGGTGTAACTTATGATTTAGCGCGTTGAATTGTGTAATAATAAAAAATGTAAGGGCTTGTTTACTAACAGAGATATTTCCAGTTTTCTGGAAAACTGGAAAACTGGAAAACAGAAAACAGGAAATGCGTTTACCAAAGAAAATTGTTGGAAAACTGGAGAAAGGAAAACAGAAAAACACGTTTACCAAATCGTTTTCCAAAACGAAAAAAAAAAATGAGACATGTCTCTCTTTTCCTTAATGGTTTGGAGAAGTGACTTCTACTAGTTTTCCACATTTAGAAAACGCAGATGCTACAGTGCCTGATGGAGTATATGGCCCATGGACCCCCTGCCCACAGACTCCTACTTCTCCTGCACAGGCCTAATGAGCCCAATACACACCCAGGGCTCAAATACAGCGGCCCAAGTGTCAAGAAGCCCACAATACACATAGGGGTGCCTTCGGCCTCCTTGGCCGAGGGCTCCAAATTACACAGGGCAACCAGATTTCAGTGTGCTAAGCTACTTGGGGAAAACGAAATAAAACAGTAGCCCTCGACTACCAGGAGCCTTCGGCACACACATGGTGCCTTCGGCTACCCAACACCCTTCGGCCATATGTCATTGGCCGCGGGATCTACGCTCCACGAAGTTGCCTTTGGAGACAAGCAACCACCGCATTCAATGCGGCGTCACGTCCAACCACCGCATTTAATGCGGTGCACATGCCTTTGTCGTTGCCACCCCGATTGAGGTGACCCTCGACTGTCAGATTGTTGATACATGTACCCTCATCGCATTTATGGCTGCTATAAATAGCAGCCCTTATTCTCCTTGTAAAGCACGCAGAGTTCATTTAATACAATCGACTCTCTCTCCTACTTGTTTGCTCTGACTTCTCTCTAGGTTATTCCCACAATAACCCCCCGGATCAGTTACCCCCCCCGGTACACTGTCCATCAGTGCCGCTGCAATGAATTTGCATACTTATACCTAGTGGTGGGTCCGGTCCCGCTCCGATGTCGATTCCATTCCGGTACCTCCATTCTCATACCTTACCCCTTACCCCTACTCTACCCACCCTACCCCCACCCCGCGTACCCCTTTTCCCTACAATGACCCTACCCCACCCCCTACCACATGCCCCTACCTTGGCCCCACCCCGATCCACCCTACCCTACCGCCACCCCCCTACCACCTCGACCCGACCCCCGACCCCGACCCCGACCCACCCTACCCTACCCTACCTTCCGTGCACGGCTGCCACTGTTGAGACTGCCGCCGCAGCCAAGGGAGACCAGGAGGAGGAGGAGGAGGAGTTGGCCGGAGTGGTGCGCAGAAGAGAATCTCAAAACTCGGAGAAGAGTTTTGCAGATGATGCAGAGAAGAAGATGTCGATCGATCGAGGAGTGAGGCGCGGAAGATGGGGTTTTATTATAGCAGGGGGTAATTCGGGAATGAGGGGTCCTCTTTAGGAATAATCAAACAACAGCTCCCATTTAGGAATTTTGATCATAATTTGGTCCTATTTAGAGGTAAAAACTTATTATAAAAATATATTTATTAATAAGACTGCCATGTTTTTATTCCCAAATATGTCAGAAATAGGACCTATTTTGAGTTATTATCCGAAATAGAACTAAAAATGTTTGAAAATTCCAAAATGAGACTGTCATGTTTTTATTCCCAAAATAGGACCAATTACTGTCATGTTTTGGCAGTACCAGAATTAAAACATGACAGTATTTTCCAAACTTAGCAGTAGTTACTCTAATTTTGGGAATAAAAAAATATTGCAGTCCTATTTTGGAATTTTCAAACTGTTTTAGTCCTTTTTCGGGAACTTTACCGATATATTTTAAATATGTTTTTTTGGGTAAATTTGGGACATTATTAAAGCCGTCTAAGAGCATCTCCAATGGTACAATGTGCACGGTGCACACGTGGCATAGGAGATAGCCACATAAATATTAGTAAATAAATTCTTTCTCTCTTTATTTAAATGATTTTATACAGTATTGGTAAGTTTTTCTCCACAATGTCAAGGAGACCGTCTAGATGTTGACATTGTTGTTGACATTGCAGACAAAAACTTACCAAAGTTGAATAAAATCATTCAAATTAGGAGATAGATAATTTATTTGCTAATATTTATGTGGCTATCAATCATGCCACATGTGCACCGTGCACATTATAACATTGAAGATGCTCTAAGAAACCCTTCTGCTCGGGCAATCGAAGGCACGCATCTCGGTCTCTAACCATTTTTAGGTTTCGTTTAAAATTACTGTATTTCTAATTTCTCGATCTTATTGGTCGTTGTTGTTGTTGTTGTTGTTGGTTTTTGGTCTTCAAGCGATGAACCCTAATCCGACTAAGGTGAGTTCGTTATCTCCTTCAAGTGCATTCAGCCCATTCTTACGTGTAAAAGTGAAATAATGGATTATCAGGTCCTTGACATTGAACACGGTACCAACAAGGAAAGCGGTATTGACGGGCATGGGGAAAAGAGAAAAGAACCCCATGAAAAAGAATTCTAAAATTGTCCTAAATAAGATTAATGAGTTCCTAAAAAACACAAATAAAACTACTACTTTTTAAATTCCCAAAATACCCCTAAGAGTATTAATTCATAATGAAATGCTTTAATTCATAATAAAATCATAAAAATGTAAAAAAATATTTAAAAAACGTAAAAAATCATAAAAAAAAATTATACAATATTTATAAAATAAAATATTTAATTTTTTTTTTAATTTTTTTAAAAAAATAATAAAAAATAATAAAAACCCATAAAAAATGGAAAAAATTATGGATACCTTTCCCACCGCCTCCCCGCACCACCTACTCTGATTGGTGAAATTTCTTCCACTTTGGTAAAAAAAAGTCATCTTTTTCTGAAAATGCCAAAACTATTTAAAATGTTGGCATATTTTTCTCCGGTGATGGGAGCTGGTGGTGTTGGGGGTGGCAGGGGTGGTAATGTTTTTTTTTAATTCTATGATTTTTTTATTTTTTATTTTATTTTAATTTCTTTTTAAATTTTTTAAAAAAATATTTTTATTAATTTTCTATTTTTTTTACGATTTTTAGAATTTTTTTCGATTTTTTATTATTTTTTATGATTTTATTATTAATTAAAACTTTTCACAAGCTACAAGGGTATATTTGTCCAAACACACATAAATAATCCTATTAGGGTAATTTAAAAAAGTAGTCTTATTTGTACAATTTTGATACTTTTTAGTCCTCTATTTAGGGAATTGACTCAAAAGAATTCGCACCTCCAGATCCCAAGAGAAGAGACAACAAAAGTATCCTCACCCACAATGAGGATGATGATGAGGAGGAGGACAAATATGACGAGGAGTTTGTCTTTGAGACTACAGGCGGTGATGATTACAAGGTAGTAGTCTGTATTTAGACATTTCGCTTTTTTTTATACAAGCATTTCATCAGCTTGTTGATGTTTAACAAAAAATGCTATAACCACCAGGGCTTGGAATCTATAGTGAATGAGTCGACTTCTAATGGTTCAGAAGCTGATAAGAGAATTCATTCGGTGAGCTAGCTATACTCACTCTTTTAGTTCCTTTATAGCTAGGCCTAGAATTGATCATGTCATCATGCTGAATATATATTACGGAGTAATTAATACGGAGTAATCAAGGTTGATGGTAAACCAATTGAAATAATACTAAAAAATTCACCTGAATGTGAACAGGCATGTTCAAGTAGTAATGTGTGATATAAAATGGACCACTCTTAGACTCTTGGTTGCTTCCATAGTTCAGGGCTCCAGTATCAACAACATATGCACCCTTTAAAAAGTTTATTCTGGTAATTTAGAAAGGTCTAAAGAAAATATTGGACTTGGGTCTGAATTTTGATGACCAGCATCCATCCTCATTTGTTCGAGTCCTGCATTTTCCTGGATCCCTTTTATAGCTTACCTATATATTTTGATCGATCATCATCATCATTACCCCAGTGCCGCAAAGGCTCCCACCTACGGTGGGGTAAGGGAGGTCGGATGTACGCAGTCTCTAGCACAAAAAGACTGTATCCGGTAGGCCTGGGACCGGTTCGGTTCCTATGCCAAATATGTGGAACCGTTTGAAAATATGAAATTTTACTAACGGTTCGGTTCTTATAAATTATTTTATAGAACCGATAAGGAACCGAACCGTTCTTAACGGTTCGGTTCTTGTCATTTAACGGTTCCTAGTCTTCGAAAAAATTCTTACAAATCAAGACTAAATTTTTGCCAAAAAGACATTCTACGTTTGAAATTACGATACAAATATGCTTAAACAGTTAAATAGAATAATAATTTTAAATACTTTGGACCTTCAAAGTTCCGACCCGCTGGAGTTCTGACCTAATGAGAGGCCTAAGAAGCCTAAGAGAACCGGTTGAAGTGAATAATAGTTTTAAATAGTTGAATAACTAAACTAAAATAATGAATGTAATATAAAAATAAGTAAGTAAATATACATAAAAATATATATACTCATAAGAAATATATATAATTTTAATTATTATATATAACGGTTCTTTAACGGTTCCTAGTACATATTTTTTTCAGGAACCGAGAACCGAACCATTAATAAAAAATAGGAACCGAACCGTTAAAAAATAACTAATAAATGTTGGAACCGAACCGAATCGGGTCATAACGGTTCGGTCCGGTCCGGTTCTCCGGTTCTTGGTTCCAAAGTCCCAGCCCTAGTATCCGGATGACCCATAGTAAAAATCGCGTCAAAAGTTGCATGGACTGATTGATGCTTCACAACAAGGAAGCGCAGACAGTTTTGTTAACCATTTTTCTTTATTCCATCATATTCCCAAGCCAAAAAATAGTAAGACTTTACTGGTGCTACAAAATATGTTTACGGGTGGATTTTTTTCTCATACCCATTGATCATTTTAACATTTTTCAGAACATATGTTATCAAACTATCCATACTGATGAGTGAACCTTTTTAAAGTTAGTTAATATGGATTAAACATCCTAAGTTGTGAATAATATAATATTGGTCTCAACTCTAAAGTCCCAACATCACTCTGGCTGTGTTGTCTGTACTGCAGGCTGCTTTTGGATAATATATGGTGGTAAGTTATTTCATGTGCATTAGATGTGTTAATTAAACTTTATTTTTTTGCTACATACTTGTCATGTGTGAAGCTTTAATGGCATGGAAATTAAAAATACAGGCATGAGACACATTCTCAGACAATTGAATTGAGTTCATCCTTGGTTTTCTTAGTTGAAGATGTCTTTCTCTGATTTTTTTCATTTATGATAGTGGTGCTTGGTTTGTGTTTGCAAAGGTACTAGGTACTTGGTTTGCGCAGATTTTATGGTAATGTTCTGTTCGTGTTTGGGGTGAATAGTCTCTCTCTTTTACGTGTTTTTTAGTTGTTTCCTTTGGCTTTGGCTAACCTTTTTATGTTTATTTGTTTCTCCCATTCTCCCCTTCTTATATGGTTTCTGAAAATCGAGTTATTTATTCCATCGCAGCTTAAAAAGCTACAAAATTTACATTACGAACATGCAAAGAGTAACCCAAATTTTCACGGGAAGATGAGGATCAAAGCTGTCATAGCTAGGGATGCCGTAGTAGTAATGTCAGTCATGACTTTCATCAGCTGATCATTGAAAAATTTCAGCTCGTCATAATTTCTAAATGTCTGAGTTTCTGGTTTGTACAAAAGTGGTGCTATCTTTTGATCATGGCATATTTGCACCACATGTATTTTATGTTTGATGGGAGTTGGTTTTACACATACATTTGAATATGTATGTGGGCTATTTAGCTATGTATTAATTTTTTTTAAAAAATGGGTTGGTCAATGGAAGTTCCACCGTATGATAAAAAGAATGAAATCTTTACCTATCAATGACTAAATCTTTACCATTGGAAATTACCGTTTTCTAGTTAGGAGCGTTGGGAAATTACAATTGAGAACAATATATGTATCACGATTTAGCGGCATCTTAAGATGCAAATGGCAAGTGAATGTGAACATATAATCTTCATTTCAAGTATGTGTGTCCTAATTTATTTGCTTATTGATGTTCTATCTATCTTTGTCTTTTTATACATCAGACGAAAATGGCTGGAGTTCTTATAACATTGCATGGGAGTACTTTGTTTATTGTACTCTGGTTTTTTATGTTCTAACTTCCAAGTAGATTTCCAAAAAAAATCGGCAAAATTTGTTTATCTATAATCCCATTTTCTGATTTTTTTTTTTCTGCTTAGTTACGTTTACATGGATATAATTTATCTAGTCAAATGTTGTGTGGGAGCTTAATTGGGGACAACCTCATTTTTCCTTTATCTCTCTATGGTCAACTTCCAAGTTCCAAAGCCATAAGCTTAATACCTCATTGTGTCTTGTATCAGCTTCAAGGCTACAAATACATGTGTTATTTTTGTTTCCCTTCATCTATCAATCCAAGAACTGTTACTTAGTTTTCCCTTCGTCTACCCCATATGTTTTCGTTATTTTTTCATTTGTCGAAAGCCATAGATTCCGTATCAACTTTAACATGAAATTCTTTTTAGAACTTGGGTAGACTAATGTTTCCTCGTGGATATAGATGGACTCGGTTCGGGCCGGGCCCGGGCCGGGCCTAGGCCCGGTCGGGCCTCCGGTCCTGGATTGGAGGGCCCGGAACCGGCCCGTGTAACCCCCCGGTCCGGGCCGGGCCGGGCCGGGCCTCGGGTTTTTTTTGCCTTTTCCTAATTAACCCCAACCCCCCTCACACCCTAACCACCTCAAATGGCCCAAAATACCCAGCCCAATCCAAAAACTTTAAAAAAATTCAAAAAAAAAATTAAAATGGCCTGGACCGGGCCCGAACCGGCCGGGCCGATTCACGTTTTGAGGGCCCGAGCCAGGACCGGAACCACCTCGGGTCGGGCCTACCCGGACCGGTCCCTGACCAGGCCACCGGACCGGGCCGGGTTGGAACAGTGGCGGGCTGGGCCGGTTTCGGGTCGGGCCAGCCGGCCCGAGTCCACCCATACTCGTGGAAGAAACAGTTATTCTCACATTGTAGTCGTTGCTACGGTGTTAAATTGTTAATTCTTGGGAACTGGTGAGATGTTCAAGAGGACATAGTATACGACAATATATGACATTTCTTTAAAAAAACACGTCTTATCTCAAATATATTTTTGAAAAAAGTATGAAAAAGGTGTTGAACCATTTTCAAATTGGGCATGTGTTTCTTTTTTTTAAACAAAGTGGGACATGTGTTTCAATTCTGTTAGCAAAGTTGTGGCTTGAACAGTTGTAATATTGTTTCCGTTGCTTTAAATGAATATTTTACATTTTTTTTTGCTCCGGGGGGGTCTGGGGGAGGGGGGCTGGGGGGAGCCTGGAGTAATCAGGGCTGAAACCCACTCCATTGAGTTTCACACCCTTGTGTGCCTAGCGGGATTCGAACTCGAGACCTCCCACTAGGCATGGTAACCTCACAACCAGCTGGGCTGAAATGGTATTTTACATTGTTTATGAATATACTATGTGTGAATGGTATTCAACACACCTAGTATAGTATGAATGAATTGGACTGCGGTTGACTATTCGTATTGTACGTCGGGTTCTTGACGTGTCTGGTAGGTCCGGGGCGTGACAAATCAAATATAGAACTAATGTCTTATACCGATTTAATAGTAGCATTTAATCTTTTTAACCCCTTGATGAAATTAATTGAGATTGATAACCTTAACACAAAGGTTTCGGTTTAACCAACAAAATTAATCCCTATTAAGTTTATGGGAAAAGTGTCAAATAGGCCCCCCTACTAATACGGAAAAGTCAATTAAGCCCCCCAACTAAAAAACACCCAATTAAACCCATGAATTATAAAAAAACGAGGCAAAACAGTCATTTTACCATATAATTAGCAGTTTAAACATTACACTCATGTAAGTGTAAATCAGCAAAACACAAAGTGAGGGAAAGGCTTCGGATGAAGGGGTATTTATAGACACCCCCTCCAACGGTCACTACATGTGGCAACCAGCCAATGGCCACACCAATGGCCACCTCTCCCAAGACCAATCGTATACCGCCTGTTCAAATTCCCCACTATACACTCCGTTGTGGCCCAAGTTAGCCCATCACCATGGTCATTGCAACGGCCACACACGCAAGAATGGGCCGGATGACGGCTGTCCCAACAGCCACTGAGTTGGCAACAACCAGTCCACCAGTAAGGAATCCTCACTACGGCTTAAACCAGCTTGACAAACCATGGATGGCACTTCACCGGCCAAAAGCTAAAAACTTATGCAAAAACTAAGGCCTACGACCACTCGCGCACAACTCGTTTGATACTAACCTTTGGTCTGCGACCTTCATCCAAGGGTTCTCCCACAGGGTTAACTTGGGCAGGATCGCCTAGGGGTTGGAGTCACAAGAAACACAAGGGTGCCGCTTCGGCCCGTGATACTATTTTATTCCTTTGCACCTTGACACTCTCATCGGCCAAGGAGTGGGGGGTTGGGGGACTACATCGGCCACAAAATAATATACGAATTCAAAAAGAACAAAAGAAAAGCAACAACATCGCAACGTCCACAACCATACAGATCACCCTCGGCTAAAGTCACCCTCATCCTCGTCACCATCGAACGTCTCCATGGCACCAAGGGAGACTGTCCACCACAATTTGAGGCATCAACAACGAACGTCTCCATTTGCATGTGCCTAACTTAGAGAATTCGAGCCAAAAAGGTCATCAAGCATAAGGAATACATTGGCGACAAACGTCTCCATTAGCCCTCGACTTAAGGGCTCTACACCAGCAGTAGGGTTACGTACGACCCGCTACTCTTAATAAAAGGCCCCCATGGCCCATAGAAGCAAGGGACGTACGTCCTCAGTCTCCAAGCTCGTCTGGGGGCAAATACCCCCACACGTCCGTCTCCAAGGCTTGGCCTCGGACCTCTCTTCGGTCGGAACAGCAAAATGAAAAATAGGGACAAAACAGCACATCAAACCCACATGGCTTCGCAACAGGGGTAGGGCCCTAGCAAGTCGATCCCCCACCTGGCAAACGGAAAAGCAATAGTCATTGGGGTGTAAAAAGTCGCAGGCCGTCCGGGAACTGGTGCATAGAGCTGGCAAACTTTGCACTTCTTGGTGTGTGCAAAACGGTCCTGCTGGATGGTCGGCCAGTAGTACCTTTGCAAGATAATTTTCCTGGCCAATGTCTTAGGCCCTTGATGGTTCGTACAAATTCCTTCATGTATCTCTTCCATGACAGTAGTTGCTACATCGGGCGGGAGGCATTTCAGATAAGGCCCCCCGAACGTCTTTTTGTATAGCTGCCCATCCACCAGCTCGAACATTGGGGCTCTCCTTTGGATGCATGTCAAGTTATAAACATCGTTCTTGTCGTTCGGTAATGTCCCATCCTTCAGGTAGTTGGTCATGTTTGTGACCCAACTCGGTACTGCATATGAAATAACATCTACCCGAAGGACCATAGTTGCTGGCGTGGCAAACACTTCTCGATGCGCAAACTTCTGGATGTACAAGGGAATGCCCTGAGCCCGCTCATCCAATGCAGCATGCTCCAGTTTTGATAGGATGTCTGCCTCAGCATTTTCAATTCTGGAGACCTGGTCGAGCACCACCTGCTCAAATTTGCTGACTTGCTCCTCGACCAGCTCCTTGTATGCCTTTAATCTTTCTTCTCTGGCCTCTGCGAATCCGTTCACCTGGTTTACTGCCAGCTGGCTATCTGACCGGACCTTCAGCCGGTCGGCACCCAGGGCTTTAGCATATTTTAGACCTGCAATAAGGGCCTCATATTCGACCTCATTGTTAGTTAGTTTAAATTCAAAGTGTACAGAATAGTATGCTTTAAACCCTTCGGGGGAGGTGATCACAACCCCCCCCCCCCCCACAGCCTTTGGCACTGGACGCCCCATCCACATACATCTCCCACCAGTTCTCCAGCATCCCCCCGTTTGATCCTTCCTCTGTTGGCCGAGCGGTGCATTCAGCAATGAAATCTGCCAACGCCTGGCCCTTGATAGTAGGGCGAGGTTTGAAATCTACTTCATAGTTCCCGATCAGTAGGGCCCATTTGGTTATGCGCCCGCTCGCCATGGGGTTTCTCAGTATAGTGGCAAGTGGTTGGGTCGTGTAGATGGTTACTGGATGGGCTTCAAAATAGGGCGCTAGCCGCTTGATAGCTGTGATCAAGGCCAAGATGGTCTTCTTCATCAAAGTGTATCTGGTTTTCGGCCCGTTCGGGGCTTTACTCACAAAATAAATTGGGCGTTGAACACCCTCATCTTCTTTTAATAATACCGAGTTGACTGCAAGGGTCAGCCACAGCTACATACATGTACAAATGTTCCCCTGGATCTGCTTTTGTCAGGACCAGGGGGAAGATAAATAAAGCTTAAAATCTTCAAAGGCGGCCTGACATTCTGCTGTCCATTCAAAAGGATTTCCCTTTTTCATGATCTCGAAAAATGGAATTGTCCAATCAGCCAGTTTGGTTAAGAATCTACTCAGGACTGCTAACCCGCCGGTCAGCCTCAGACCATCCGGAGTTTTTTCTGCGTCATCCGGGTGCATAAAGACTTGGTGATAACCCCTGAAGGCATCCATGAAGCATAGTAATTCACATCCAGTTGTCTCGTCTACAAGTAGGTCAATCCTTGGCACGGGGTAAGGGTCCATGGGACATGTTTTGTTCAGGTCGGTGTAGTCCACACACATCCTCCATGTGGATCCCTTTGGTGCAAGGACCACATTAGCGAGCCATTCAACATGAATGACTAGCCGAATGTGTCTAATCTTCAGCAGCGTGGCTACCTCCTGCTTGGTAAATTCACGTTGTTCGGCCGCTTGATACTGTTTCTTTTGCTGTACTGGCTTGGCATCAGGCCGATCGGCCAATTTGTGGCAAATCAGCTGTGGGTTAATCTTGGGCATGTCTCCAGGTCCCCGAG